TTTTTTTTCAATTCAAGATTCATATTTTTTTTTTTTTTTTTTTTTTTTTTTTTTTTGTTTATTTTATTTTATTTTATTTATTTTTTTTTGCTGTAAATGTATTTAAAATCTGTCAAATTAAGATTTAGTAAAAAAAAATTAAAAATAAAAAAAAATTAATTTTAAAAAAAGTTTTCAATTTTAATGTTAATGTACCACAAAAAATATTTGTCATAGCAAGTATAGCTATATTTACATAAAGTCAACTCTTAGCTATTATAATATAATTTTGCCTGTTATTAATTATCAAGCTGAGCTATAAACCTCTATCTAATTTACTTTGTGCCCATTCTGTGATATATATCTGGCTCTTACTTGCCTTCAGCTAGTGCTCAACGAGCAATTGCAGTTAGTTGATAGAAGCTATCAGCAATCAAATTGTATTTGCTCTTTCAACAAATCCCAAGAAACAATTAAAGAGGCAACCCGAACAGGAGTTGCCCAAGAGGAGCTGCACTACATATTCAAAATATAGTTGAGGCTAATTGTCAGGCTATCGACGGCGTCTTATCGGCCAGCAGCAACAAGCAATTCAGCCAAAATTTATGCAATACAAACGAGCCGAGGGGCCACTCACAGGACACACTCAGGCATAGATAACGGTCTGTAAGTCAAAAATGTTGCGTCTCTAGTGGTCCAGCGATCCAGTGGTCCAGTGGCTGGTGGCTATTAAAATGCTAGCATTTGCAGGTTTATCTGGAGGCAGGACAGCGGCTACGAGTCGGAGATAATGTATCGACAGGGCACAAGGAGGTGAGCGCAAATCTAGACGTGGCCATTAATGAACGCAGCCCGGGCTGCCCGTACAGTGGAGTCCATTAAAAAGGACTAAATGGCAATTAAACATTTGAGTTTGGCCTAGCACTGACCGTTGCTGGCGAGTCCTGGCACAGCACAGAGGGGTCACCAGGCAGCAGGCAGCAGGCAGCAGACAGCGGCAGAGCTCTGCAATTAAGGCTCCCTTTTGCACTTTCGGCCAAGGACACTTGGCAATTAAGCCAACAACGTAGCTGGGCAAAAGTTGGCGCTGACCAATCCCTTAGCGACAATTTTGGAGTGTCCTATCGCTCTGACTGTGTGTGTGCGTGTGTGTGTGTGTGTGTTATCCTTTTACCTATCTCGACTGCTGCTGCAGTGGACTAAACTTAAATGAGTTTGCTGTGCAGCCCCAAAGAACATTTAAATGAGCTGGGCAGAAGTTTTGATTGGCTCGCCGAGAGATTTATCAGCGCGCTCTTAAAGCAGCAAAAGCAAACGCAAACGCAAATTCAAATTCAAATACCTTCGGCTCTAAGAACATTCTCTGCCAGCCCGAGGGACACATGTGCACCCAAGTACCTCGCTATTGGTGGCGGGGGCGTGGCATTCACGCGCGACATAGACACAGGCTCAGGCACATTCGTCGATATGCTCATTTAAAATAATTTATTGCAATGAGCTGACACTCATTGCCAGTTAAAAGTGGCATGCCACTCTGACACTTGAAGCACACACACACACACACACACACACATGCACACACACGTAGACGTACACACACTTAAAAATAAATACATGCATATAAATACTTATCGAGTGGCAGCGGCAAAGATAAATTGCGCAAAATAGAAAAATGCTCTAATTAAAATTATGCACAAATATTTTGGGAATTCGTTTAGCCATGCGACACAAGTCGCATTCAAGTCACATGGAAATCTTTGAAAGTCTTTCAGATTTGGAAATCTTTTCGGGTTGCTGCTGCTGCCATTGCTGCTGTGCTCTTATTGATGGCGTGCCAATTAAAATTGATTGGAAATTCCTTGCATGCCACGCACGTGGGCGCCACCAGCTGCCCCTCAAGGAGCGAGCGCTCAGTAGTTGCTCAGCAAAATACCAGCTGCATGCCGGATTCATAGATTAGCATATACGAAGGCACTGAGAAAATGTAAATGAGCAATGAGACGAATTTCTGAAAGTATGAAAGTAAATTTCAATGATCCTTCTATACAGTCGAATCCCGATAATTCGTAATGGAAAGGGGATCAAC